GTAATAGATAGTTTTTTCCGTTTAAAACAAACTTAAATACAACTTTTTAATTATTTAATCAAATAAAAAGAAAACTGCTTGTCTCATTTTTTTTTTTTGTTTGTCTATTGTAACATAAATAAAGAAATTAATTCAAGTTAATTCAACTTGAAGGAATAGCCTATTTTTTCTCACTGCAGACAGTCTATGAATGTTAGCAAACAAAAACATTTGCAAACAAAAACATTTAGATCTTCTCATCTACATTAACGATCTTACCAACAACCTTACACCTAAAGTAGCTCTTCAAGTCTCTTACTTGATGTCTACTCCAGTCCTGACAAATACTCCTGTCTTGACAAAAATTCTTCTCTTTTTGATCGCTTAAAACAGGTAGCCAAACTTGAATCTGACCTCACTTCTTTAACAGATTGGGGCTCACAGTGATTTGTAGATTTTGACTCCAACAAAAATCAGTTATTTACTGTAAACAAATATTGCATTACTGTAGACATTCATACACTAAGGAATGGCAACCCTCTCACTTGAGTCATTCTTAGATTATCGTTTAGTACTGACCTTTACAACCTTCAATTTTTCAAGTCTTCTGTGAACTGTTTCCTTGCTCTATAATTCTATTCTTTTTATCTAGTAACTCCCAACTTATTAGCGGTTGCTTGCAGCCTTGTTGGGAGTAAATCAGAATAACTGAGAGAGAAAAAAAGAAGATTCAAAATTGTGTCCAAGTTGTTGCAAACTTCATTTAACACCAATCTCTGCAAGTGAATCTTACTATTTGCACTCTGAAAATGGAATTTTATCTCCAGTGACGTATCCAGAAGATTTTTGGGCCTACCGGTCCCAAAAAACTTCAGGTAAAATCTACCTTAATTTTTTAGAGGACAACTTTGAAAATATATAATATACATCATTCAATACCTAGCAGTTGCGTAAATTGTATAAAATTACGTTTTTAATAACGAAAAATTCTAATTACGTAAAATTACGAAAAAAGAATAAAATCAATTTTATTAAATTATTGCTTCTCCCATAAGTTCCCTTTATTGTAGGTACTCGCAAAAAAAACGTTATAACTTTAACAATTATTACATTTAATAAAATTTGTTATACTTCTGATTTCATAAATATATCAAAGATAATTACATGTTATGAGACCAAGTACAATCAAGAAGCAGTAATATACTAACATAGCCAAGTTCAAGTAACAAGAATCTAAAACCATTTATAAGGTATACCTGTATTTTTAACTAATGAATTCGAAAAATAGCGTTGAATCGTTGATAATAAAATAGTACCATCTTTTTCTATTGGAATTCTAGTTACATATGAATCTTTATTTACAACATTTACATAACTTTCTAAACGTAAACAAAACAAGAAAAAATTAGTTAACAGTATTTTAATGTTGAAATTTAATATTTATTTATTCTTCATATGTAATGTCATATAAACTTTTACTGTTTTTTACAAATAAACTTACACTAAGAAATTACATAATTTTCTTCATTGATACTAGTTTTAAACAAGAAGGTATTTTATATAAATAAAACAAATTTTAAGTAGCTAAAAACTTATTTTACAGATTGACTATAATTTTAACAGTGATTATACACATTACTCTGTTATAAATAAATATAGTTTATGTTTCGTGCTATATAAAATTTATTACATTTATGCTTGAAATTATTAATCAGATCTCATATTCAATAGCAAGAGGCTACAGTATAGATGCTTTATATCTAGATTATTAAAGTACCTCCTTATGGATACAACATTGTGCGTTTTTATAGATAAAAATGTACTATGTTGTTTCTATAAAGTGACATAAAGTCTGGAAGACACAAAGTCTGGAAGAGACTCTTCACATTGCTGGTCAGAACTCATCTGGAGTAGACGGCGCATGTATGGACTTGAATTTCTGCACACAATTTTTAATCACTTGAAAATGTTCAAAACTGCGTCACCAAAGAAATTCTGCTTTACAAAGCGTTTTCTAGCAAAGCCAGATCTTCATCACAACTCACTTCATCACAACTCACTTAACAAAAGATGCAATCTAGGTGACTTAATCAACAATTTTAAGTTTATCAATAACTTAGATAATAATTTTTTTTTAAATTAACAGGCAAAATGGCCATCCATCTGTTTGAATAATTTGAGCATACTCTCAGTGCCTCTCTAAAGAGTTCTTTAATGATTCTGAACTCAACAACAACATGCAAGCCATCTCTACTAGACCTAATTTCTTCCCTAGTAGCCAGATGATAGAATTTACTCCCACAAACTGTGGTCAACTCTTGTCATCTAAGTGAGTTTAAAAAATGTGTCAAAAAACACTTAGCCAACATTAGCATAATTACTCATCAAGATGCTGCTACAGCTCATCGTCAGGGTTAGGCTTACCTACCCGAGAAAAAAAACCCCGCTAATCCTGTTAAGTTCCTAATAAGTTTCCTACTAAAACTTAGTAAGTTCCCGCCAAGTACATACTAGGAACTTA